TCAAACAACTTTGCAGTCTGATGCACCACAGTGCCATACCACGATGGGGTTGTTGTTGATGGTGGTTAGGTAGACCTTGCTCTTCAAAGTGGAGTCCTGGTGTGGTGCTGGGGGATAAAGCACTGGACCACAAGGTCAGTTTGAAACACAAGACCGGTGGTTCAAACTCACCAGCTGCTCCTTGGAAACTATACAGGGTTGCTATGGAGGGTACTTAACAACAATAACCACAGTTCTTCAAAGTGACCTCCTTATTCTTTAACATTAAAGAGGCCTTTGGCAGGAGCTGTGCTTAATGTAACACCTAGGTCCTGACTGCTGCCTCCATGAGCGTTGATTGTGGATCAGAGTGAACTGAAATCCTTGACAGCGACAATCAGTTCTTTTCCTGACATTGTTCATTGGTCCAGTTGTGAGGATTTTTGTTTTCTTTATATTGAGTTATGATCCATACTTTGTTCTTTAGTCTTTTATAGCAGGTGCTTCATGTTCTCTTCTCTTTTGGCAGGCTAGGTGTGTTGATGCATATTGCATCAGAAACATTCTCCAATCCTGAAGCCATAGTTCTTCGTACTATGTAAAGCTTCTTGGATTATTTGCTCAGCGTATAGGTTGAATAGGTCTGGTGAGAGGATACAACCGTGACACACACTTTTTCTGATCTTAAACCTCACGGTTTCTCCTTGTTCTCATGATCCCTGTACAGCTTCCACAACAGCATAAATTAAGTGTTCTGAAATTCCCATTCTTTGCAATGTTCCCCATAGTTTATTATAATCCACATAGTCAAATGCCTTTGCATAGCACATAAAGCACAAATAAAGATCTTTCTAGTATTCTTTGCTTTCAGCCGAGATCCACCTGACGTTAGCAGTGATAGTCCTCATTTGAATTTAGCTTGAATTTCTGGCAGCTCCCTGTCAATGTGCTGCTACAACCATTTAAAAATGATCTTCAGCAAACTTTCATGTGCATGTGATATTAGTAATATTTTTTTCAGTAATTTCCACATTTTGTTGTGTCACCTTTCTTTGGAATGGGCATAAATACGAATCTCTTCCAAATTTCTTGGCACAAATTAATGAGTGCTTCTAGTGTTATATCAGTTTGTTGAAACATTGAAATGGGTATTCTGTCAATTCCTGGAGTCTGTGTTTTGGTAATGTCTTCAGTGCAGCTTGGATGTCTTCCTACAACACTGTTGGTTTTTTATCATATGCTACTTTTTTCCATCTTCTTTGGACACTTTCTGCATCTGTCAGTATTTTGCCCATAGAATCCTTTAGGACTGCAACCCCAGTTTTGACTTGTTTCTTCAATTCTTCTTTCAGTTTGAAAAAAAGGCTGAGGGTGTTCTTCCTTTAGGTTTTCTAGCTGTAGGTCTTTGTGCATTTCAATATACTACTTGACTGTCTGTGTCTTTTCAAGCTGTATGACGCCATCGTGCTGTTGCTTACAGCCCTCGTAATACAGTGCTCATGTGTACTTCCAGCACCGGATTGCTATGGATTTTGGCTTATATAGACTTTAGAAACGAAAGAGGTCTCCTTCCCATTTTAGTTTGTAAGAATTTTTTTCCTTGTCATTAAATTAGGAATAGGTGTTAAGTTCTAGGAAGTTTTTGGTTCCATTGAGATGGCTATCTTTTGCTTCTTCCTTTTTTAAATAAAGAGAAATCAATCATTTAGATCATTTAGATAGTGACCAATTCTTCCTTTTTTTTTTTTTTTTAAGACCGAATCTTCTTGATCATAATGCTTTTCAGGATAAGTAAAAAAAATATAGACGCTAGGGTTCCAGTTCATAAATACACAGATTTATTCTAATGAACGCATGTTGAAAAATGTTTCTGTGATCAGTGGATGACTACAGACAAGCTCCCTCAGTAATACACTTGTCTTAGTCCCATTGGGATGCCTTCAGAAACCAAAAGGCCCAAATCAAGACAGAAGCTTCCAAGGATATATCTGTCAGTTATATATTCAAGGCAGAGAGGTCAGCTCAAAGGGTCATGGAGACTGTTTTGGGATTTCAAAGGCATAATCTTGAGAGACTTTCTTAAAGGATACAGGAAAATCTTAGGATCTTATTAGAAATAAGTTTTAAGAAAATGGAAAATGGCATTGCTGAGGAAAAGACCAGCAAAGTTGCTCTGAGGATTTTAAAAATCATCACAGCAATGTACCTGCTCAGTCAGTCTTCCAGCGTTAGCAAGGGCTGTCCTAGGAGAATTTTGCTAGGACACGTTACCTCATCCATCCTAAGCCCTAATCTTACCCTTTCAGACTTCTTTTTGTTCCTAAAATAAAAAAGAACATATAGAAGGAACATCCTCAGAGGATGCCCAAACTATCGTTTGATGTGGTGTACAGTTGACATCAATTGGATATTGGCTGAAACTAGAGAATACCTGAAAGATGTTCACCTGTGCTTCATTGACTACACAGAGGCTTTCAGTTGTGTGAATCAGGACAAGCTATGGATGACGTTGTGAAGTTGAGTATTCCGGAGCACTAGATTCTGCTCATGAGGAACCTGTACACAGACCACGAGACAGTTGTTCAAACAGAAAAGGGAACACCAAAGGGTTTAAAATTAGGAAATGTGTGTGCCAGGATTTGCTCATGAGGAACCTGTACGCAGACCACGAGACAGTTGTTCAAACAGAAAAGGGAACACCAAAGGGTTTAAAATTAGGAAATGTGTGTGCCAGGATTGTGTTCTTTCACCATGCTTATTCAATCTGTATGCTGAGCAAGTAATCTGAGAAGCTTGATTATATGAAGAAAAAACGTGTTATCAAGATTGGAGGAAGACTCATTAACAGCCTATGATATGCAGATGATACAACCTTGCTTGCTGAAAGTGAAGAGGATTTAAAATACTTATTGATGAAGATCAAAGACCACAGCCTTTTGTATGGGTTGCATCTCAATGTAAAGAAAAATCCTCGCTAATGGACCAATAAACAACATCCATATAAATGGAGAAAAGATTGAAGTTGTCAAAGACTTCATTTTACTCAGATTAACTATCAACACTCATGGAAGCAACAGTTAAAAAATCAAATGACGTATTGCATTAGGCAAATCTACTGCTTAAGACCTCTTGAAAGTGATGAAGAACACTAAGGCATACCTGACTTAAGCCCTGGTATTTTCAATAACCTCATGTGCATAAGAAAGTTGGATAGTGAATAATAAGGAAAACTGTAGAAAATTGATAAATTTGGGTTATAGTTTTGGAGGAGAATATTGAAAGTGCCATGGGCTGCCAGAAGAACAAACAGATCTGTGTTGGAAGACGTACAGCCAGAATGTTCCTGGGAAGCCAGGGTGGTCAGACTTCGTCTCTCATACTTTGGACTTGTGTCAGGAGGAGCCAGTCACTGGAGAAGGATATCATGTTTGGTAAAATGGAGGGTCGGAGAAAAAGAGGAAGACCCCCAGTGAGATGGATTGGCACAGTGGCAGCAGCAGTGGGCTCAGGCATAACAACAATTGTGAGGTTGACCCAGGACTCGGCAGTGTTTCATTCTGTTGTGCATACTGAGTCGATACCAACTTGATGGCACCTGAAAGTGCCATGGACTGCCAAAAGACCCAATAGATCTATTTTGGAAGAAGTGCAGCCAGAGTGCTTCTTGGAGGCCAGGATGGCTAAGCTTCATCTCTCATACTTTGGACATCTTGTCCGGAGGAAACAATCGTTGGAGAAGGATGTCATGCTGGGTAAGATGGAGGGTAAGAGAAAAAGAGGAAGACCCCCAACGAGATGATCAGCCAGGTGGCATCATTGATGGCTTCAAGTGTGGCAGCGGTGGTGGGGTTGGCCCAGGATCGGACATTGTTTTGTTCTGCTGTGCATGGGGTCGCTATGAATCGGTTCCAACTCGATGGCACCTGACAACGACAACAACAACAACATTGATGAGCACAGAATTCTTCAGGTAAGGAGAAGATAAAAACACCAAGAGATGGAAAGACTGCCTTCAGACGTGTATAGCAGTAGATGGACGATATGCCAAGAAACAGTAGCTTCACATTTTCACATTTGTTTGATAAAGGTTTCTACAACTTATCAGCAATACTTTTTACTTGCCCTCGTATTTTTAAAACAGATTTTATTATTAGGTATCATTTGTTTTTGTTTTAGCTAGGCTATCTAAATTCTCTATTCATTTCTGTGGTACTTTGAACATAATCTTTATTCAGGTTTTGTACAAAAGAGGATGATTCTTGTCCTGTGAGAAGAGTCAGGTAGATATGGTTCTTGTTTCTATACTTTGGAGTTGTTTCTCTAGAAATGGGAATTATCTGTTCTTTGAGAGTTTCATAGAGCTGTTAGTATACAACCAGTATGTTGTGTTTTTTAGGATTTGCTTTGCCTCTAGGGTAATGTATCTCTTTCTGCTTTCCTCCTCTTTGGCCATTTCTAGTATTTTCTGTTTTCCTAGATATTTCCATATTTTGTTCTTGTTTTTAAATGTACTGTTATAAAATTATACTTTAAATTATCTTAATTATGTGTATGTTTTCTATGCCAAGAAAATCTAGTAAGACATATAAGAAACTTAACAGTGATCACCTGGTGAAAGTAGAATTATAAAAAGTAGGCGTGATTGTCTTTAAAAACGTATACATATGAAGGCAATAGGGATCCCAGGTGGCACTGTAGGAGAAGCACTGGGCTGGTAACTGCAAGGTCAGCAGTTCAAACCCACCAGCTCTGCCGTGGGAGAAAGAGGCGGTTTTTTAGACTCCAAAAGCTTCTATAAGGTCGTTGTGAGTCAGAACTGAGTCCGTGTCAGTTACTAGAAAGGCAGTAGGTGAATTTTCCAATCATGAACTTGTTTTACTTTTATAATAGAAGAAGAAAAGTGTGACTTTCACATTTTTAAAAATTATTATTTATATTTCACCTTTTAAACACAGTAAGGAATGTATCCTTGTTGTTATCCATAGCATATGTTAACTGTGTCTTGTTTTGTCTCCCTCAAGCTGGACTCTGGACTGTCTTCACACTAGGCAGTGCGGGCAGCAAGCAACAGAATCCTGAGCTTTCTTCCCCTCTGGCCAACCAGAGCCTCCTGCTCCTGCTGGTGCTGGCCAACCTGACAGATGCACCGGACGCACCCAACCCCTACAGACAGGCCATCATGTCTTTTAAGAACACACAAGGTTAGTGGGGTCTGTGTGTTATCTCCCCTGAGCACTCTGTATGATATGGAAAGAGAGGATATTCTTTACTCCATATTGTTTATATTGTTTTATGTTTTTGGAGATGTTAATTTGATTATTTTCATATTGGTTGCATATGAGAAAAACTTAAGTTTTTTCCTGCTTGGTGTGGTGCTGTAGAAAAAGCATTGGACTGTTAGCCACAAGGTTGGCAGCTCAAACCCATGAGTCGTTCTTTGGAAATCCAATACAGGGTCACTGTGAGTTGAAATTGACTGGACGGCACTTAACAACAACAAATACATATTCCCATGAAGGGAGACTAACTAGATCATCGATGAGTTTTGTAATCCTTTTTATCCAGATCTACTAAAGCATCTTGAAAATAAAATATACAGACCATCCGGGTTATAAACGAGATCTGTTCCTGTGTGTTCAAGACTTTGACAGGGCTTTGAACTGGTTTAGTTATGGGTTCTGAAGGGTCACTGAAATAGACCTGAGGTTTTTAAGTTACAGTGAACCCGAAAGAGCCCGATTGGGAAAATTACTGGTTGAAACTTTACTAGTAACTTAATCTCCCTCATACAGAAGATGGGCAGCATATACTCTGAATTGCTTCCAAATCTCTTGCCCTTGGATCTGAAGTACATTTCAAAGCAGTGCTACCCCACCGTCTAAAAGATGGGGGCACCGCACTCAGAGAGGACTAGGACATTATGTTGTTCTCTTATCTTCTTGCCAATAATCCAGTCAAAAGCTTCAGGCTCCTGAAAGGACTCATTGTGCCTTTTCTGATTATCCTACTCCGGGGTTCCACCCCAGAACTTTCCCCATATCAGGTACTGTAATGAAACTGACATGTTGTAAAACTTGGGGTCTGTTCTTATTTTGCTTCTTAAGCCATGGCAGAATCTGTTTAAAGGGCAAAGTAGGAGTTGTCTGTAAGTCAGACCTTCATAACCCAGGAACTCTACCTATGGCGCTATAGGATAAGCATTCAACTGCAGTGTTGGTTTGAACCATAGAATCGGTGGTTCACATCTACCAGCTGCTCCTTGGAAACCCTATAAAAAGGTCTCTATGAGTTGATGGCACTTAACATACACAACCTATACAATAATAATGAGGATGTTTTGATGCTAGTTGCAAAGTAGTATCCATTTATTATTATGAACCATTGTATGTAACTTGAATTTTTAATAAATAGGCTTTACAGGGTTGGTTTATAACCATAGGTTATATCTATGTTTGATGTTCATAACCTGGGAATTGTCTGCACTTTTCTTCATGGTGACACCATGACTTCATAGTTAAGAAAACAAGTTTTGGTGTCAGACAGACTTGAATTCACACCACAGCTCTGTTGTTGTTAAATGCTGTTGAGTCAGTTGCGACTCACAGCCATCCCGTGTAGAGTTTCGGTGGGTTTGAGCCGCCGACCTTGTGGTACCGTATCAGGCTGTTAAAGCTTGAACAATTGCTTAATCTCAATACACCAAAATGACTTGATAATGTTACCTGATGGCATTTGTATAAATACCAAGCAAGGTAAGATTTTAAAATGATCTGCTTAGATTTTGCAACATGATAAGCAGTCAGTCTCTGTCTGCTGTTTGTACTTCCTTGCTGCTCAGACCAAATGTTAGTATTTAGGTTTAAACCTTTGCAAAAATAGAAAGTGTCACAAAATAATAATTTCTTAGCTGTCAAAAATAGAGTGTTTGGATTGAAGATGATAATGCATCTTCCAAATGTAGAAGGAAAAGCGAGGGCATCGTGCTTTAAAAATGTAGCCACATTCTTAGACCCTTCTAGATGCATTCTTTCCACAAATGTGAAGGCTAGGAAGGAGAACTTGAGAGGAATAGGACTGTGCTAAGAAACCTTGTTTGTGTTGGCAGAAGTGTCTTTTCCTTGGGAGCACAGCTGTTGCAAATGTTAAAGCAGTTTCTGTTCTTTGTAGTGGTCCTGTGTTTTAAAATGCTCGGTGCTTGCTTTCCCAAACACATTAAAGCCTCAGCTCTGTGCACTATCATGTTCCAGGGTTTTATTTGACAAGATTATGACTTTCTGTGAGTCCGTTGAATCTATTTTTCTCTCCCTTTTGGTTTCTTAACCTTACTTGTTTTAGTTTCTAAGCATATGCAGCTAGCTTTAGGAAAGGGCCTCTGTCAGTTTTTGACTAGAAGTATTTTCCCACCATGAACTAACTGTAAGTTCATGCTTTTCATCATTCCAGTGACTATATTATTATTATTATTAGTTATTAAGCTTCTTAGCAGTTTGTTAGATAACGTTTTCCTTTGAACAAAAAGTTTTAGAAGTTTTCTAGTAGTTGACTTAGATTTGGCCTATTTCATTCATTTAGAAGCTATTAACAAACATAACCGACTTTGATATTTTTGAAAAACTGACCACATTATATATTGTTACTCTGTTCATGGAGTCCTGCTCTGGTGCTGTAGGATAAGCGCTGGACCGCAAGGTCAGTGGTTCAAATGACCAGCTGCTCCTCAGAAACCCTCCTATACAGGGTCGCTCAAAGTTGGGACTGCACCACGGCTCTTAAATGTGACAGCAACAACTCTAGCCACTAGGAACCATGATAGAGTAGTGTACTACTAGCTGACCTGCTAACCTCAAGGTCAGCAGTTCGAATCTATTAGTCACTCCTCAGGAGAAAGATGAGACTTTGTGCTCCCATAAAGATGTACAGTCTCAGAAATCCCACACAGGGTCTCTATGAGTCACACCCTCCATGGCACATGACATCACCACTCTAGCCATTGTCTTTCATTGATTGCATTAATGACATTGGAGGAAACGTCAGCCAACATTGTTCTTTTGAAAAAAAAAATTAACTTCGTTTCAAGGCAGTATTTTCTTCTTAAACCTACCTTTCAGAAGGATTTTCTGCTTTATATAGAAACTTGTATTTTTTGTCTCTACCTATTTTCATTTAGGACTGGTGGACATTTAGTTTTGGTAAAAAACTGTGTTAGTGACCTGTTTTCAGTTTTACCTGTAAGGCACTTTTTACCTAGCCTTATCTTTCTGTCTGTTTTTTTGTTGCTATGGAGTTCATTCACTTCTACTTACAGTGACCCTGGCTGGTGAGTTTGAACCTCCAACCTTATGGTAGAGTCTCAAATACTACTTCATAACATTCACCCTGACTAGAGTTTAGATTGGTTGCAATTACAACTGTATCATTCTGGACTGCAAGGTCAGTTTGAACCGCAAGAACTGGAGTTCTAACTTATCACCTGCTCCTTGGAAACCATATACAGGATCCCTGTGGGTCAGAACAGACTCAAAGGCACTTAACAACAACAACAGACAGTCCATAAGAATACATGACTGGAAAACCTTCTAGTACCTTAGTAGTACTTGCCAGTGATACTGTGCTCTGTTTATTGAAGCTCATGTTTTGGTAGTATTAATTCAGCTATGTTAATGTAAAAATGGTTAAAAAAAAAAAAAAAGGTCTAGCTTTGTGATTTAGTCTAATTCTTTTTTAAAATATAAATTAAACTTTTGTTATGGAGTTGATGGAAGTAAGTTGTACTTACTTATTTTAATAAAGCTTTTACTTTTTCTATAAACAAATACTCATGTAATATTTCTCATGTTTTTGTTTCCCTGTATTTCAGATAGCAGTCCTTTCCCTTCACCATCCCCCCATGCTTTCCAGATTAACTTTAATAGTTTGTACACAGCTCTGTGCGAACAGCAGACGTCTGACCAGGCAACGCTCCTCTTGTACACGTTGCTCCATCAGAACAGTAATATTAGAACATACATGTTGGCTCGAACAGACATGGAAAACCTTGTAAGTATCATGCTAAGCATTTTATGCTTCTTGGATTTTAGAATACTTTGAGGGACATGTGTGTTTGTTTGGTTACCATAAAGGTTATAGTCCAGAGATAGATCAGGGATATTTACAGACAGAGGACAAAAGTGAGTTTCTGCGCTTTAGGGAGTCCGCTCCCATGAGGATGATGTCGTGGAGCAGGACAACACAGCAGCGCCCCCAGCTGGTGTGACAAGCATCCTTACCCTTTAGGTTTTTTCCATCCCCACTCCTGCCAATGATTCTGCCTGATCAAGTCAACCCCTATACCATTCTCTAGGAGTTTTTTTACACCCTTCAATCCAGTCTGCTAAGCCTTCCCACCACGATCAAGTTGCAGTATATTCCTGATGAGAATAGGTTAAAGAAAGAGTAATTTTAAACTCAGTAGCTCAAATTTTCCATTTCTCTTTCAGGCTTAGACTTTAGGGTTGCCTGAACTCAATTCCTGATGTATTACAGTTACGATGCATCACTTAATGTGTACTGTCCCTGACTCGCCAGCTGCTCCTTGGAAACCCTGTATGGGGTCGCTATGAGTCGGCATCGACTCGATGGCACTTAACAACAACAAAAGCAATCCTTGACTGTGTAATTAAACTTGGCTCCCAAACTTTTGTTCATAGGCAAAACCCCTTATAAGTAATCATTAATTTTCAATATAGCTAACATGGCACTGTGAGATAAGCATTGGACTAATTACAAAGTTGGCAGTTCAAACCCTCCAGCTACTCCTCAGAAACTTTATATAGGGTCGCTATCAGTTGGAAACAATTCGGTGGCACTTAACAACAACAAGAGTGTATAAACATCAGGATTTCTATGAATGGAAAAGTAAGCTTTCTCAAACTGGCTGCTAGTATGTTTGAAATGCATTTTATATACTCAAGGGGGTTTCAAGAAGTTCATGAAAAATGGAATTAAGATAATGGTATTTTCCCATAAACTTTCCCTTGTAGATAAGTAGGGACTATTAATGTATTAAAATAAAGGTGATTATTTCTGAACTAGTAGCAGCTCTGCTGGCAGCAGCGGCAGTGTTTTCTGTGTACCGGTTTCTATAGGATGATTACAGGATTCAGTGGGTATTTAGTAGCCGTTTTTGCAGTGTTAATGACAAATTGCTGTGCACTGATGGGAATGCAGTGGCTCCATAGGATAAGCACTGAACTGTGAACCACAAGTTTTGTGGTTCAAGTCCATCAGTCACTCTTCGGGAGAAAGGTGAGATTTCCTGCTTCCACAAAAGATTTAAAGCCTCAGAAACCCTACACAGGGTCGCTGTGAGTTGGAACCGACTCCACGGCACCATATAACAATAACAACATAGATTGTAAAACTTGATGTTGGTAGGAAATTTACTGGGCTAATCTGATTTTGCTATGTTATTTCTTTCTTTTTGGAGAATGCATTCTGTATGATTTCACTTCTGCTTAATTTGTTGAAATTTGTTTTATGTCCTGGGATATGGTGCATCTTGGTAAATATTTCCTAGGCATTTGAAAAGAATGAGCATTCTGCTACTGTTTGGTGGAGTGTTCTGTAAATGTTTAATGGATTCTGTTGGTTGATAGTGTTATTAAGTTCTTTTGTATCCTTCTAGGTTTTTTGTATGTTTGTTTTTATCAGTTATTGAGAGAGAAGTGTTAAAATGTACAGCTATAAATATGGGTTTGTCTGTTTTATCTTTCTTTTCCATCAGTTTTTGTTTTACATGTTTTGCAGCTCTTTTGTTTGGTGCATACACATTTAGGATTGCTGTGTTGTCTTGATCGATTGGTTCAGTTGTTAGTATAGCGTGTCCCTCTTGTTTTTGACAACTTCCTGTGCTGTAAAGTCTACTTTATCTAATGCTAACATGTTGTTGTTGTTAAGTACTGTAAAGTGAGTTCTGACTCATAGCTACTCCTTTTTTTCCTTAATATTTATTTGCATGGTATTTTTTTTTTGCATCCTTTTTCTTTCAGTTGCCCATATTCTTATATTTGAAGTGAGCTCCTTGTAGACAGTATGAGTGAAATTGTGTAATAAAATCTCTGTGTGGCACAGACCTTCTCAGGCATGCCTTTACAGAGCTGATGCTTACACTCACTCGCTCTTGTTCTCTTAAGTATCCATATGAAGAAGTACTTTCTGTCAGAGGTGGATTGAGTATGTTCTTGTTTCTCAGAGAAAAGATAAAACAATGATGTTAAAAACAAAGGGTAAAAAGAAAGAAAAAATATGAAAGCTTAAAACAGTTCGTGTTGCAGCAAAAGTAATTGAAATAAATAATAAATAATAATTTTAATTCTCTAGGTTTTACCAATTCTTGAAATTCTGTATCATGTTGAAGAAAGAAATTCACACCATGTATATATGGCTCTTATAATATTATTGATTCTTACAGAAGATGATGGCTTCAATAGATCCATTCATGAAGTGGTGAGTGACCAGAACTTTGATTAGAGTTACAAAGGTAACAGCATAAACGTGTGCTTCCATAAGATTTACTACTGCCTTAGAATTTCTTCTTTCGGGCCCGTGTGTCTATGTGAACCTGGCTTAGAAATGGTGTCTTTCTTAATATTTATGAGGTGGTGTTTCTTTTTCTGAAAGACTATTAGCCACTGTTAACTCTCTCCAAATGGTTTCTTTAGTTATTGGTGCAAATGTTTTTGCTACCACTAGGTTAATTTTTCTTCTCCATTTTATATGCACCTTTTAATTGAGGCAGAAATTGTCAAGCAGGTTTGCTGCTTGCATACAGAATTAGCCAAGAACTAAGAAACAAAAACTGTGTAATGTCTTTAACGTTATTTGTACTTTTTATTAAACTCAATCAGAATTTCTAGACAACTGTGTATTTTCCACAGGGGGGAGAAAGGTAAACCTTTAGGTGAAGGCTAAATTGGATTTCTAATTTTCATAGTAGCATACCAATTTTTTAAAATGGATACTCCCTAGATATTTGTTGAATGCCAAGTGAATTAAGTCTGCTCTTATTCAAAATTCTTATTCCTACATCCTGCTGCATAGTTGACAAACACAAGCAGATGTTAAGAACTAATGACCTCTGTTCCAAATCAGGAAGGATAATGTATTTTTAAATAAATGAACTGAGAGAGAGAGAGAAGAAACAGAACTATTCTCAACGTTGTGGCCTTTTGAAAAGACAGAGGCTCTTGTCATTATTAACGTTAGGGTTAATACTGCTTTCTGGAGTCAGAGCACTGGTTCTTAACCTTTTTAGTTTTTATAGTGTTAACAATTGTTGAAGACCTCAAAGAATTTTTGTTTATGAGATGATAATTCTCCATGTTTGTTAAATGAAAATTTATATACTTTTAAAAATATTTACTTAATTAGTGCATTTAAAAGTAATAATGATATCAGGGTGATGTTTGCTTTGTAAAATGAATTTAGGGAACATTCCTTCTTTCTCTGTCTATTGGAAGAATTTAAGCAGGATTAGTGTGAAGTCTTTTTTAACTGTTTGGTAGATTTCCCCAGTGAAGCCCTCTAGTCCAGGACTTTATTGGTGTTATTGGAGGTTTTTGATCACTGATTTGACGTCTTCACTTGTTGAGACTTTCTGTTTCTTCTTTGTTTCATCTACTGTGTCCAGTTTGTTCCCATATAGTTGTTCATAGTTTTCTATCATAATCCTGTTCGTTTCTATTGGGTCACCCCCAACCTCTTTTGGTTGTTATTTCATAGAATGTTTTTTCCCACCCTTTCACTTTTAACCTATTTATATTGGATCATTAACAAAAAAATGAATCCCTTTTGACCCTCTCTGCATTTTGATTGTAGCATTTAGTTCATTTACATTTGTTAGAGTCACTGATAAGTAACTTATTTTTGTCATTTGTTGTTTTGTGTGTCTTAAGCCTTTTTAAAGTCTTTGTTTGTTATTACCGCTCGCTTTTGTGTTTTGTTGGTGTAATATAATGAGACTTTTTTGTCCCTATCTCCTTTCCATTTGTGGTTTGTTTGCTTTTCCTTAGTGGTGACCTTGAATGCTACACTTAAGAGCTTGTGTGTATAACATTCTAGGGTAACTTCGGTCACATCCAAGAAGTTCTGCTTCTGTTTCATTCCTCTCCTCGCCTTTCATGCTGATAATATTACTAAATGCATTTCTGTATTTCATGTGCCCTACAATGCAGGTTTATCCTTGCCTTTTATATATTTGTTGTTAAAAACATGAACGATACAAAGTTTTAAATTATCAAGCTTGAATACCTTATTGCTAATGTGGTGCTGCAGGATAATGCACAAGATCACAAGGTCAGTTTGAGCTGCAAGGTCAGTGGTTCAAACTCACCAGCCGCTCCTCAGAAACCGTATGCAGGTTTGCTATGGGTTGCAACTGACATGATGACAGTTAACAACAAAAGACTTTAACTTGTCCTTGCATTTATTTCCCTTTATTAGGGATCTTTTTTTTTTTCTTCTTCTTATGAGGATGTGCTAAAAAGTTTGTAGCAAAATGTCATTATCTTTTTTTGGTTTAAATTTTTATTGTGAATTGAATGATAGTTCACATGGGAGAATATCGATTTTACACTCATCCTATCATATTTCTTCTCATTGCAATGATTACAATCCTTTCTGTGTGTCATCATTCAACAGCATTTGCTTCTATTCTTTTGTTTTTTGGGTTTTTTTTTTTTTTTGGATGTGCACAAAAACACTCAGGAATCATTTAAACAACCAAAGGGCACGTTCGGCAAGCCTGCCTCCTGACCGCCAGCACTCAGCCTTTCTCTTTCCATGAATCCAGAATCTTCAGCTGCTCTATCTCTCCATGTTATCATCTCTTTTAATTTTCATTATCTTTTTTTTTTAGGGTTTTTGTGAATTGAGTGAAAGTTTACAGGGCAGATGATCAGTTTTACATTCAGCAAATCATATGCTTGTTTCATTACCGTTATCTTTTAATTTTATTTTTTCTAGAATTTTTTGAAGCCCCCTTTCCTGTATGGCTTTTCATAACTTTCTAGTGTTTTTTCCATGTATAGAACTTTCATTAGTACCTTTTGTAGACTCGATCTAATGGATATGAACTCTCTCAGCTTCTGTTTGTCTGGGATTGTTTGAATTTTACCCTCATTTTTGAAGGTTAATTTTGCTGAGTATAGTATTCTCGATATGCAATATTTTTTCTTTCAGCTCTTTAAACATAATGCTTTTTATTACCTGGAAAAGTTAGTACTTCATCTTATTGGGGGATCCTTTATGTTTAGTTTTTGAGAGCCTGACTCTGACGTGTCTTGGTATAGATCTTTTTGAGTTTATCCTAATTGGGGTTTGTTGAGCTTCTTGGATTTATAGATTAGTGTTCTTAATTAGATTGGGGAAATTTTCTGTCATTATTTCTTAAACTATTCTTTCTAACCATTTCTTTCACATCTTCTAGAATTCCTATGTTGTTTATATGAAGTCTCTAATAGGGCAATTCAAGTCCACTAGCTGCTCCTTAGAAACCCTATACAGGGTTGCTGTGAGTTGAAACTGACTCAACAGCACTTAGCAACAGTAACAATATGCACATCATTCATGTTCCATTGCACTGTGCTCAGCCTTCTTGTTGTTCTTTCTGTAGTCTTCTTAACTGTCTTACCCTTTAGTTCATCGATTCTTTCTTCTGCCTGGTTAAATTTGTTTCACCTCATTTCAGTTTTTCCCCTTTTTGGTTGCAGACTCTCTCTTATTTCTGGATCCTCATTTTTTTCTTACATTGTTGTCCTTACATCTTTTAGGTGTTTGTCTATGTTTTCCCTTACATCTTTAATTATGTTTAATGTGGTTTGGTAAGGTGGCGGGTAAGAGAAAAAGAGAAAGACCCCGTGCGAGATGGATTGGCGAAGTGGCAGCATCAGTGGGCTCAAGCGTGGCAACAATTGTGAGGTGGGCCCAGGATTGGGCAGTGTTTCATTCTGCTGTGCATGAGGTCGCTGTGAGTTGGTACCGACTAGCTGGTACCTAATAACAACATCAATTATATTCTTCTGTTTGCTCCTCATTATTTGGTCATCTCTAGATACACTTCCACTCCTTTGTCATGTTGATTTGAATGACCACTGATTCTCTAGTCTTTGTGTGTCTTGTGATTTTTTTTGTTAAGACATTAGAAGTTTTAAGGATAATTTTCTGTTTTCCCGAGTATTTGTTGTTTTTGTCTATACTACTCTCTGCAAGAAACTCTTGGGTATGCAGAGCTTTCAGCCCTTGCTTACCATTGCCTCTTCCTCTCTCTGGTAGCCGTTTATACCTTCCTGTTGTAATTGGGATTCAGAAGTTCCAGACCTTGATTTTCAACTTTCTGTTTCCTCCAAACCCAGCAGAGAACATGCACTGTGGTCAGTCTGTGGAAACCAGAGGGTATTGGCCACTTAGGCAGGAGACCTTGCACTGATCATTCGGTCTCTCCCCTAGCAGATGTAGTCCCCTCTCTCTGGTTATTAACTCCCTTCCCGTATTTGTTTCTAGAATCAAGTTTTTAGTTGGAAAACCAATCCACACTTAGTCAGTCAAAGACACCACAAGGAAGTAAAACTACAGGCCAATATCTCTTGTGAATATAGATGCAAACTGCTAGTGATAAAATCTCACAACATATTAAAAGAACCATACACTGAAGTGACGTAGTGGAATTGATTCCAGACATGCAGGGATGGTGCAACAGTCAATGTAATACACCATAGCCACAGAACCAAGGGATGCATGATCATCTCTATGGATGCAGAAAAATCATTACATAAAATTAAATACACTTTCTTGATGAAGGCTCTAGAGAAGAGTGGAATAGGAGGAAAACTCTTCTGTATGACTCAGGGCATATATGAAAAAGCAGCAGCCAGCATTATACTTAATGGGTTAAAAATGAAAGTTTTTCCTTTGAAATTGGGAACAAGACAGATATGTTTCTCTTACCACCTATGTTCATATTCAGTATTAGAAGTTCTAGCCAGATCAATAACATAAGAAAAAGAAATGAAAGTTTTCCAGGTTGGAAAAGAAGTAGTAAAATTATTTCTGTTCATACATGGTATGATCCTGTGTAGAGGAAATCACAATGAGTCCACAAGAAAACGTGTAGAGCTAACAGAGGAATTTAGCAAAGTTGTAGGGTACAAGGTCAACAAACAAAAATCAACTGGGTTTCTATACACCAGCAATGAAAAATCTAAAAGGAAATTAGGAAACATTTCTATTTATAATGGCAGCTAAGATAATAAAATGCCTTTACAAAAAGTCTAATCAGGAATGTGAAGGATTTATGTATTTTGAAAACACTGCTGATAGAGATTGAAGAAGAATTAAATAAATGAAAAGATGTTCCATGTTCATGACCTGGAAGAATTCATATTGTTAAGGTGTCAGTAATACCCAAAGTGATCTGTAGATTCCTTGCAATCCAGATCAAAATTCCAACA